TCTTCTGTGTCCCCCTTTTCTTTCCTTTTCTATTTTTTATTATTTGCATTTTTCTCTCCTCAGCTGTGAGTTCCTACTCTTCAGAGAGTTACTTCCTGTTAAGTTGCAGGATGTGGGTGAGGAGGCGGGGCCTTTTTTAGGGGAGGTGCGGTCTGTGTGTGTGTGTGATAGACAGAGGAAGACAGAACGACAGAAAGGGAGGGAGGGTAATTCAACCATATGATTTAACACTCCTCCTTTGGGTTAGAGAGCGACACGGGGAGGGCGAGTGAGAGCTTTTCTTTTAGTAAGCACGCACACACACACACACCTGCACACACTCTTGCACACACACACACAGACAGATATGACCAAGACAGCAGCAATAGCAGCGAAGGACTTCTCCAGTATGTGGTTGCCAGGTGAGTGGCTGTCTGTGCAGCTCTTCCTTCATTTCCCGAGACCAATTACAGCTGAAGGGATGTGTGTGTGTGTGTGTGTGTGTGTGTGTGTGTGTGTGTGTGTGTGTGTGTGTGTGTGTGTGTGTGTGTGTGTGTGTGTGTGTGTGTGTGTGTGTGTGTGTGTGTGTGTGTACGGGAGAAAGAGTTGTGTCTGTGCTGCTAATTAATGCCACTGAGTCTAACACGCTCAGCTAATGAGAGAACATCAAAGGAGGAGAGGTGGTGTGACGTGGAAGATGGACAGATGGATGGATGAGTGGACGCCTGTCGCAGGCCGAGAGAAAGGTCACACACCTCACTAGCCCTTTAGTGTGTGTGTGTGTGTGTGTGTGTGTGTGTGTGTGTGTGTGTCTAATTAGGTGTTAAACACTGTTTTAAAAGATTTAAAAATATGCCTCTAATGTAAAAATCACTTTTGCAGCTTTAAAACAACGTAAGTAGATTTTTTTTACGTCTTCTGTTTCTGATGCGGCGCTGCGGCTCGGATCCATTTGTTTTCACCTTACAGATGTTTGTGATAAGGGTTTGTGCAACTTTTAAAGTGGTATTAACTCGTGTCAGGGTGGGTGTGCACGGGCTTATTTATGTCTTTGTTTATTTTTATTGGACCTTTTTTCAAACTGCTTAATTTGAATTTTACAGTCCTGTATTTTAAAAAAGCAGAGTTTTAAAAAGGGGAATTAAAAATGTTGGGATTTGAAAGAGCAGGTAACTTTACAATAAGGGTCCCTTTATTAACGTTACTCAGTGCATTATTAATCATTAATAAACAAAGGGTCCCTTTATTAGTGTTATTGTTAAAGTGTCCTTAAGGTTAGTACAAAGGGCCTTGGGGGGTGTCTGCTTAGTTATGCATTACATAATATGGTTAAGCAGTTGTGATCTTCCTGTATCCGTCCTGTCTATGTGTGTGTGTGTAATCTTGGTCAGGCTGTACTGTGGAGTCAAGTTCCTATGCTCTGGATCGCTGGAGCGCTGGCAATAAAATTCATTCTGATTCTGATTCTGGTAGTTTGTTAATGCTTAATTACACATTAAGTAACAGTAATAACGGGACCCTTATTGTAACCGAAAAGCAGAAAAATGTGCATCTCTTCTCCAGCGGTGGCCTTGTTTCTGCTGGTGAGTTTAGGCGGTAAGAAGAAACACACCGTCTCAGCGTGATAAATAAGTACATAAATAAATAATAAATAAACACATCAGGCTGTCAGCTGACTCGCTAATTACAAGAAATCACTTTTCTAAACGTCAATTAGCTCATGATTCGCCTCTCTGTGCGTCATGAAATACTTAAGATAAGAGGATTTTTCTAATTTTCATGATGCTGTTTGCTGTTCATCAGAAGGTGATTCGTGAGTTTTACACACTGTCACTTCTTAACTTGGCGTGGTCGCCGTGGTGACATCCACAAGGTTACACAGACCAGAGTGACACATCCTCCTCACACAAAACGGCCGACAAACGTCCAGAAATCCAAACGGAGGGGTAGAAAAACTCCTGCAGCAGCTACGTCTGTGCAGCTGTCTTACACGAACGTTAATGTCTAATTTATTAATATAATATTAAAGCTGCGATATTCATGTTTAAGGATGTTATTGCGCAACTCTTTTGAATAAAATGCATCAGCAGAAATATTCATTTACATCAAAATCCAAACGTGAAAGTAAACACACTCCTTCACGCTTCCCACCAAAAACTAATATTTATTCATTAGTTTTGTAATTAAACACAAAATTCTAGTAGTTATTTTCACTTCCTAAAGGAAATGATCAAATACTTTAGTGAAATGTCGTCATCATCAACCATCTGCTTATTTATGTTTATTAGAATATTTTATTTTCCTGTTTTAATCGATTTAGAGCTAAGCTGTTTATGTTTTTCTATTATAAGAATTAAGTCTGATTTGAATAAATTATCCATTTTATATAATTCTCTATCTGCATAAGTGACTTTAGTAAGACTTTACAGTAAGGGCCCCTTTATTAGCGTTACTTAGTGCATTATTAAGCATTAATAAATGTCACTGTCATTGTTAATGATTAAGTGTCCTAAAGGTTAGGACAGTGCCAGGGGGTGTCTGCTTAGTAATGCATTACATAATATGGTTAGCAGTTGTTAATACTTTATTTAATAGTTTATTAATGCTTAATAATGCACTAAGTAACGTTAATAAAGGGACCTTGTTGTAACGTGTTATCGTTTATCAAAATCAAAGCCTTTGAACAACGTTTGGTTTAATAAAAACTTCAATTATTATTTTTAAACAGCACCAGCTGTGTGTGTGTGTGTGTGTGTGTGTGTGTGTGTGTGTGTGTGTGTGTGTGTGTGTGTGTGTGTGTGTGTGTGTGTGTGTGTGTGTGTGTGTGTGTGTGTGTGTGTGTGCTGTCTGGACTGTTTCTGTTATTCTCCTCTGGGTATTTCATTTCAGATGAAACTTCACTACCCCCTCTCTCTCTCTCTCACACACACACACACACACACACACACACACACACACACACACACACACACACACACACACGAGGATTATACAGCATAACATCTGATCTGTTTAAGACACCTGGTCTGATGTGACGGCTCTCAGGGTCACAGGTAAACTCCGACCTTGGCCCGAGCGGCTGCAGCAGCCACATGCTGACGGGTAGTCGTTTCTACTTGTTGGGAAAAGTTAGTGTTCCCCTGCTTCTTGATGACTGGTGCAGCGGCGTGCTCTAAAGGTGGAGTGAAAGAGAGAGTGAGAGAGCAGGTTAATATTAATAGCCACACTGACAGTAAGTGTTGGGTTTAGCACAACGCTTTCAACCCGGTACAAGGGGAAGTCGGGAGGGGAAGTGAGAAAAAGACACAGCATCTTGATATACTGTCCCACCGCCGTATTACTGACCACATTATCCACCGCGCTGCCGTCTGCAGGCCGATCCAGAACATGAATCAACACCTTTCCCTGCCGTCCTGCAGCTGCAGCTGCAGCGCCACGGCCAGCTGCTTCCTGAGCTGGACCCTGGCTCTCACGCCTGAGGGCCCAGGGCGGTCAGAGGAGGCATCCACAGTAACTCAGCAATATTGGGAAAGATAATTATAAATAAGAGGAAGGTGCTATTTGGGGGTAAATTCAGTGGTTTTCAGAAGAAATTGAGCAACAGTGGACAGTTCTTTAGTTTCACGAATAGCCTCGGTGTAAAGTACAGAAAGAGAAGGTGGTGTGTGAAACGCTGGAGAATCCACCAGCTGGCCGTGGTGATGGATCACTACATTACCTTTTTGTCAGGAGACTAAAATAGCACCAACTTTTTAAGGGAAATCCTGCTGTGTGTGTGTGTGTGTGTGTGTGTGTGTGTGTGTGTGTGTGTGTTGTTGTTGTTGACAATGTGGCGGTAAAGTGAAGCTGATTATCACTTCCCCCTTCCTAAAGATGTTGCACGTACTAAAGTTGACTGATCTCACATCTGTTTCAGTGAAACAGGCTGAAGAACGCTCCTCTCATCAAAGAGAGGCTCTTCTTCTATGGTTTCTCTCTTTTCTGATGTTTTTGTGTCTGCAAACACCTTATTGGGTTTAAACCGGCGGCAGGTCAGCGGTGGTCAGTGGTCCTGTGTGCTGCTACTGACACCCAGTGGTGAAAAACATGCTTGACCACTTGATACATTATTTTTTATTTACAGAAAGTCTGAAGAAAAGTGAAGTTTTCATGGCAACAAGCTGATGGAGATCCATCAGAGTCAGCGCTAAACGAGAGAAGGAGGGTGGAGGAGAAAAAAGAGCAGGGAGACGGAGTTTATTATGCAGGTGGCTGATATAATTAGCCGGTCGTTGGGCAGATTTGCATGTTTTCACAAAAGGGAAGTAGCTCGGCATGTGTGTGTGTGAGAGAGATTGTGTGTGAGAGTGTGTGTGTGTGCATGCGTGTTTGGAGGAGACACAGCGGGAGACAAAAAATGGACACGACTAAAAGTCTCTTTTTTTTACAGTTTGTGGTTTGAAAAGCATAAAACTCCTTTTGTTACGGGATAATGCTGCAGGCTGATGAACCAACATAAATCACCACACACACACACACACACACACACACACACACACACACACACACACACACACACACACACACACACACACACACACACCTCCTCTCCACCGCTGCCTGAATCCCACTTTTGTTTTTGTCTGTTTTAGTTCTGAAGAGAACAAAAAGAAGTCAAACTCGGTGCCCTCCTTCATTCACGAGCGTCGCCACAGGGACCGTCCCAGCGCAGATCCAGGAGGCGATGATAAACACCACGAGACGTTCTCGGTGCAGCTCTCCTCCCACGAAAACACCTCGGGTTAAATTTAGATCGAGCAAGCACCCTGATCGGCCCACTCCTCAGCTCGAACCGCGCACTGGAAAGAGTGAATGGATGTGGGCTGCGTTGAGCTTTGTGAACGACTCAGACTCGTCGTTTGGTTTTACAGTGTGTAGGCTCGCTCTGTGACCTGAAAAACACTCGACCTGACGCCCTCCTCTTTCCCCCTTCTCGTCACGGTTCTGGTCACTGTGTTCACGTGTGTGTTTCCCTGTTGCAGACATCAGGATGTCGAAGCTCGTGGAGGTTGAGAAGGTCGGGGCTGACTCGCCTTTAGAGGCCACAGGTAGGATCGCTCTCGCTGTATCAGATATGTAAAGAGCTGCACGTGACGCGGGAAGGTACACCCCTGAGTGCACGAGTTGTGTTGGGGATGAGCATGGACGTAATTTTCACTTTAGAAGTGGGGGGGACACGGGGGAGGGAGGAGGGGGGAGGGGTATCTTTACGGTGTGCTCTAATGGGAAACAGACTTCAACGCAAACGGTTGTTTTCCGCTCGGTCCTAGAGCTCATCCAGTGTTAATTTAATATAGCGTAATATTGTTTTGGATGGTAAAAAGTGCAGGGGTCAAAACTTGACTTTGGAAAATGTGTGTGTGTGTGTGTGTGTGTGGGGGGGGGGGGGGCATGTCCCCCCTGTCCCCCCCAAAAATTACGTCCATGGGGATGAGACTGATCACTTTTTCCCTTCCCCTCCCACAGAGTCAGAGCGGAATGGACCCGAATCAAATCACCAGGTAACACCTGAGACTTCCACCTCCTCTCACCTTCACAGCGACGACAACGCTTACGTTCACCTGAGCAAAAAGAAGCTATTCATGATAAAAATGTGTCTTTTTTTCATTGTTTCTTTTCTTCAAGTCTCTGAAAATCAGCCCGTTCCCCCTGTCGCCAAACCTGAACAGCAGCAAGGTGAGTGTGTTGAGCTGCCCGTGCATGTCTGTGCGTGACCCTCGGTCCTTTTGTGTCCCGGTATCACGCTTTTGCTTTATTGCCTCAGCTTTATGTTCATTTCTAAGCTCTGAATTGTTCTTTTTGTCACGTGTGACGGTGAAGCCGGCGTTGTGGCTGCTCTCCGCCCGGTCCCGAATGTAAACAAACGCGCCACCGCCCACCTCCCCTAAAGAAAACCCTGAGAGCATGCGGCGCTCTCCTTTCACAGAGCCTTTAGAGCGCTAAAGTAAACCTATAAGAATGCTTTTCTCACCAAGAATAAATAAATAACCCATTTTCGTACCGCAGGATTTATGCAAACCAGCGAGGTGGAGGAGGTTCCCTCGTGCCGGTTCAGACATGCCCTCCACCGGGAGAAAAGAGCATCTTTTTGTGCAAAGTGAATGATCAAACCAAAGAGTTTACCTGTGACAGAGTGTGGGAATTGTCAGAGTTTTTAACCAATCATCTGTAAACAAAGCGAGAGCTCAGAAGGTTCAGGAACCTCTAAACTCCATCAGCACACCAACCTGCTCCTCTCTCTGTTGTTGCTCCAGAGTAAGATGGACGAGAGTGCTGAAATGTCCCCGGGCCTCCCCTCCTCTCACGGCCCGACCCCCTCACAAACAGCTCTGCAGCACACACAGCTGATGCTGACCGGCTCCCAGCTCGCGGGGGTAAGTCTGAATATCTAAAAGCACCTTTGCTTTGCTTTCACCTCGCCTGCTTCTCCTGTGCTGCTTTTTGAACGCTTCCTCTCCCCCCTTTTCTCCTTCCCTTCTTTGTCGTTGCTTCCTAATCTTCCCCTCTCCTCTCCTCGACCCTCTTCCTTCGCCAGCTGACAGCTTTATTGCCAGCTCAGCAGCAGCTACTGCTACAGCAGGCTCAGGCTCAGCTCCTGGCCGCCGCCGTGCAGCAGTCCAACGCGGCGGCTCACGCTGCCCACGCAGCCGCCCAAGCCAATCAGCAAGCTCAGGCAGCTGCAGCGGCGAATCAGCAGGCCCAGCAGCAGCAGCAGCAGCAAGCGGGGCAGCAGGTTCACTCTCAGTCCCAGGGACAGAGCACACAGGAGCAAAACACCCAAAGCGTCCCTGTCCCTCCTCCTCAGCTCACCCTCTCCCAGCCCATCCAGCTCACCGCCCAGGTACCGACCACCAGCCCGTCGTTTCCTGATCAGCGACTGATTCGGGAGCTTTTAGTCCTCAGAACGCTTCTTCTTGTAAATTTTTAGTGTTTGTGCTGATTCTGGATCTTCTTCCTGGTTTTGGTTTCTCCGTTTTCCTGCACTTTGAATCTGTTTACCCAGAATCTGCTGATAGAAATAAACTCTCCTCCATCTGAACCTATTGTCCCTCCGTTGAACAGGACATCCAGCAGCTGCTGCAGCTTCAACAGCTGGTGTTGGTGCCTGGTCACCCACTTCCATCCCCAGCCCAGTTCCTCCTCCCACAGGCGCAGCAGGGCCAGCAAGGTGGGTTCAGTGGGTGGCAGGTGTGTCCCCTCCTTTTAACAGTTTGAAAATCCTCTTTTGCTCTTGTTTTGCTCAGGACTCTTATCGACACCAAATCTTATTCCGCTACCTCAGCAGAACCAGGGGAGCCTCCTTTCTGCTCCGGCTAGAATGGGGCTGCAGACACAGGTAGGAAACGCGGTCGGTGGAAAAGACAAACCCCGCAGCTGCAGCAGTAGCGGTGAACAAACGCTCCTCTTCTTCTCTCGATTTCACTTTCGCCCGTCTGAACTCCCGTCAGGTGCAGCGCGATAAGAGCGTGGATTTGAGCGGCGGCGGAGGCATGACCGCGGCACCCTCTGTGACCTCTCACCCCGACGAGCCCAGTGACCTGGAAGAGCTCGAACAGTTTGCTCGCACTTTTAAACAGAGACGCATCAAACTGGGCTTCACGCAGGTAAGAGGGTGGCACCTGCCTCGCTGGGGGGGTCGGGATGTGTGCTGGCTCGTCTCCAACGACACCTCTCTGCTCTTTGGCGGCTCCAACAGGGAGACGTGGGCTTGGCCATGGGGAAGCTCTACGGGAACGACTTCAGTCAGACCACCATCTCCCGCTTTGAGGCGCTCAACCTGAGCTTCAAGAACATGTGCAAGCTGAAGCCTCTGCTGGAGAAGTGGCTCAACGACGCAGGTGAGTCCTCATCCGCCTGTTCCCCTGCGGACCACGTGGACGTGTGTCTGACTTTGTCTGACGTTGTCCTGCAGAGACCATGTCCATCGACAGCACCCTGCCCAGTCCCAGCTCCCTGTCCTCCCCTTCACTGGGCTTTGAGGGGATTCCGGGTCGCCGCAGAAAGAAAAGAACCAGCATTGAGACGAATGTGCGAGTGGCCCTAGAACGATCCTTCCTGACTGTAAGATGTTTATTTTAAGCACTTTTATTGTGTAAAGATGCAACAAAAGCCCCTTTTTTTCTGGATGCTGCAACAATTGCAAACAGTTTCACCGATTTAGACTTTTTGTTTTTCCTCTTGATGACCTGATTTGGGCTCTGCTGACACGAGTCGCGTCTCGTTTCAGAACCAGAAGCCCACCTCCGAGGAGATCCTGTTGATCGCTGAGCAGCTTAACATGGAGAAGGAGGTGATCCGGGTCTGGTTCTGCAACCGCCGGCAGAAAGAGAAGCGCATCAATCCCAGCAGCGCCACCCCTCCGCTGCCCAGTCAGCCCCCCGCTGCCCCGCAGACGCACAAACCGCCGTGCTATAGCCCCCACATGGTAACACCTCACCCCGCTGATCAGACGCTTTGCACCGTTCCAGCGTCTGAGCGTGTTTGTCTCTCTTTCTGACAGATGTCCAGCCAGCTGTCCCAGGCCGTGACCAACCTCAGCAGCACAACAGCCACCACCATGTCCTCCATCTGCCCCTTGACTTCCAGCCTCACCTCTACCCACCCCTCTCTCACCTCCACCCACCCCCCTCTGAGCTCCACGCCCTCCCCAGTGACACCTCCTCCTCCCCCTCGCAGCACAGCCAGCCCTGCCACTCCCAGCCACAACACACTCAACCTAAACACAGGGTGAGAGACGCCCGCGGCGCCAAACGCCATCACTCCTGCGGACGCGAGGAGACCCTCCTCTGCTCCTTCTTTTTTGTTTCCGTTTTTACTTTTTATCAGACGTTTCCAGTTTGAGACAGAAGGAAAAGGGGAGATTAGCTCGTCTTGACTACTTTGATGCAATTAAGTCAAATTAAATTAAAAATCTGCAGGAATTAGAGGGATTTCTAAAGATTAACCAACAGATTCACAACCATTATGCAAATCTGTTTTTATTAGCGCATTCATTCTCACTTGCTACCTGCTCCTCCTCGTAAAGTAGACACCTGCTAGTTATATCTTGAGACATGCATGTAAAAAAATCCAGCATCTTTTAGCATCTAGACGTTTTTTGTTGCTTATATTCGTTATTTCACTTAAAAGTGTGGAAATCTAAAAAAAAAAACATTTTTTTAAGATTATTTATGATTCTAATCAGTCACTCTGGGATTTTCATGCAGGCTGAACATGAAAATAGTCTCTTACACCTATCTCCTGCGTCAGCTTCTGATAGAAAACAGATGGTGAAACTCTAGGATTAGAAAATCCTGACAGATCTACGTCACACTGTCACTTAATATTCATCTTGACTCATGACGGGGAAGGCTGTTGTTGGTTTAGCGTCCAGGAGAGAGCCGAGCACATCCCAGCTGGTCGAAGCTAATTGTTAGCATTAGCACCTCCACCACACAGCAGAACTCCTTCTGGCTTGTGTTATTTGTTGAGATGAAACATCCACGTTGCAGAGCAAACAGAGTCAGTGGATGAGTCACGTTGATGTTAGCCAATCAGAGATGAGATGTCTGCATATCAGGAAATAAGACTCCAAATCCTGCTGTTTTCTGCCCTCTTCTCCTCCAATTAACTTCTACTTCCTGAAACAGGAGCGCCAGAGCTTTTTTTCCCACAGAAAACAACTCAAGACCTGTTAAAATAATGAGTGTGTTTCCACTTTATGTTCCTAAAAGTTAAATAACCACTGGATGTTGACACATTTTAAACAGTTAATTCAAAGATGAGCTGGAACAGAAGGTTGAATCAGAGCTCTTAAGGCCGATCTATAACTGCAGGAATTTACACGACCAGCAAGTTTTCATTTAAATGCAGGACGCTGTTTGGTTGGCACTAATCCAAATGGCGTCCACAGTGGAGGCTCAAATCCTCAGTGAAGTTTTGTAAAATCATTCTAGTGCTGCTGGTTTTTGAAACTGCTTTAAGTTATGAGCAGAATTTAAATAAACCTATTCAAGTCAAAATTATCTAAAAAAAATGGTTAAAGAGCAAGTCACCCCCTGCCAGATTCTTACTCAACTCCCACTTCCTGTTTGAAAAATGCAACAAATGCTGTTGCCTAGCCGACCGAGAGGGTGGAGCCACTAACAAATACACACACACACGACATTGTGACATCATAATGTACCATCTAACATCATAGTATACCTCTTAGCCAATAGCGATGGCAGATTTAAATTCAAATGCAGTGCTGAGTTTTTGCCTGACGACGGTGCATCGCTGACAGTTTTAGGCAGATTATTTAAATTTTAACTAAGATGCACTAAAGTGCCACATTATTGACTGAACGTGTCTACAGAGCAATTAGACACTCATTTATATTGTTTATCAACAAAAAAAAAAGTTCATTTGAGGGTGACTTGCTCTTTAAGTTAAGTTTTGCTGCTGAAATTTAGGAAAATTGTCTTTAGTCTTTTTTTTAACCCAACGGATCGTTTCAAATTAAAGTTTGTCGTCTCATCCACCATCACATTTATCAATCTACTAACTCTGAACCATGATCTCACACAAACACACACTAACACCCCCCCCACCCCCACCCCCCACACACACACACACTTTCTGCTGTCTAACCTTCTGTGTGTGTGTGTCTCCTACAGTCTGTGGCGCATGGGTAAAAAGAATGGTGACATGTCCAACTACATCACTGACTTTGCTGCAAATTTGAGGTGAATATGACACACACACACACACACACACACACACACACACACACACACACACACACACACACACACACACACACACACACAGCTACAGTAGGTGAACTTGTGTATATTTTGCATGTTTTGAAGCCATCTCTCTCCTTTCCTCCTCCTAGCCTGTTGCTGCCTCTACAGCTAATCCATCTGCAGCTCTTTAAACGTGCATCGATAAATAAATGATCTGCTGCTCTTTACTTCTAAACCTGCTCCCCCCCCCCTCTCACCTTTTCTCCTCTGCCCCTCTGTGTTTGTGTACATGCTCGCACGTGCAGGAACACTGTGATGGGAGTTAACACGGGGATGAACCACGCCCTCCTCGGTAACAATCCCCTGGCAACTATCCAAGGTGTGTGTGTGTGTGTGCGTGAAAGAAAACCCCAGATAGATGTAGCGTAGAAATTTAAGGTGACAATTGGAAAAAATTTCCAACAAAACTGAAAAGTTACACATTTTGAAAGAATTTCCTGCGGAGTGGCTGCAGAAACCTTCCTCTCCTACACGCCCACACACACACGAGTGCTGAAATTCACATGCACGTATACTGTACACAGCACTTCCCCTTATACACCTTCCTACACACTCTAACAGTACAAAACCAGCCGCAGAAAACACACATCCAAGTCCCGTAAACAGTGACCCCCCAAACGCCCCTGAGGAGCGCCAGCTTGGGTTTAGTCATATATGTATAATTAGGTGGCGGTGGTGTGTGTGTGTGTGTGTGTGGGGGGGGGGGGGGGGTGATGATGAGTAATACGATTACACTTGGTGGGTGAGTCGAGTCGCGCTGGCCGACTGGAGACACGGATGGTCGGGCGGCCGAGGGTGTTTGCACATCCACACACGCACATGTTGGTATATCTATACTTGTGAGGACCCTTCATTGACTTCCATTCATTTTAGTGACTCCTCTATGCCTAACCCATACCCTAACCACTGGTGTTCTATACCTAACCCTGAGCTAATCTACAAGATAATTCACACCATACCCCTTAAACCACTTAATATGGCTTTTTCCACAGTGAGGACATGGCAAACGTCCTCACAATTTCAAAAGGTCCCATGTTAGAGGTGAAAAGTCAAAAATGCATCCTCACAAGTATATGTATATATATATATATATATATATATATATATATATATATATATTCAATAAATAACTTATGTTTTATCTGTTCACATCTACAAATATTAATCCCATAAAATGTGTGTGTGTGTGTGTGAAGGTGCTTATGCTAAAGTGTGGGCTTGTGTTTTGTGTGTGTTTGTGTGTGCCGTTTAACGAATCTTTACTCGTTTATCTCTTCATTTTCATCACATCTAATGCTTTTCAGCCACTCTCTTGAGAAATCAACTTCTTATTTGTGTGCGGTTAATGCATGAGTTTTGTTTATTATGAGTTTTGTTTATTATTATGAGATTGAACGGTTGTCTGGCCATCAGATGAGTCACAGATGAGTCAAAAAAAATTTTTTTAGCTGACAAACGTCTCAGAGTTCATTAAAAAGTAGAAAACAGTCGTAGTGTGGTTCGCGTGCGTGTGTTTGTTTGTTTTTTTGCTTGAAAAAGAAGCTCCACCAAAGGGACAAATGACCCAAAATGCAGCCTGTTTCCATAACGACGCACCGCTTATGTCAGCTCACCTTTTTGCAGGGCTGTGTTTAATCCCTGATGATGAGCTTGGTGAAGATTTTAAACTGCGTCTCGTAATCAAAGCATTTATGTACATCATCAACCTCAAAGTCGTAACAGTTGCATGTTTTGTGTTTCATTTAAAAGAGGCGATACTTTCTACTCATCAGTGCTGCAAGTTCAAACATTCTTCATGTTCCACCTTTGCTCTTTGGGAAGTATTAACTTGAGTTTTCAGAAAGACCGAAGACTGAAAAGTAGTTTCACAGAATAAAAACGGGAGTTGAATCGTCCTTTCACCACACGCAACCCTTCAGACTCATCCCTCTGTAGTTTTCTGTGCACGAATCACACAGGTCCAGTAACGACCAAAAAGGTTTTATTTTGTGTTCTTAATAAGATTTTAAAGCTTTTTAACACCTGGAAAACATTTTTAAACTGTTGGTGACTCATTCCCCACGCAGGCTAAATTTATCTACGGTGACTCACTTTCTCTGATTTTCATGCGTCACCCCCATGAATTAACTCTGGTGAGGCGTCGGATGTAGAGATTTTAGGGTTTCAGCGGTGCAGCAGGATGAGGGTAGAGGTATTCTCACATAAAAAGCTTACTTCCATCCAGTTAAACAAGTAACTCCCTCATAAACTGGAATGATTTTACTGGCTGATGTCTCACCTTCCAATATGGCGGCTCTGTGAAGGTGCACTATGTAAGAATGAAGTAAGAACGACATCCTGTGGTCAAATGTGGGTATTGCAGCCAATTTTCCAAACATTCAAGTGACTTTCTCACTCTCTATCCTGCGGTTGGTAAAAGAGCCAGCATCGAACGTTCCTATAGGACCCTACCTGTTGGTGACATTAGAGCAATCTGAGTTACCAGAAACAGGAGAAATACTCGTGACTAGCCAGATCAGCAACAAGCTAGTGGCTAATTTTGAGTATTTTAAACAACTCTTGCTTCAAAAATACAAACAGATGCGTTAGAACCGTTAGCATTTAATCTCCTGCTTCTGCATAGTAATCCGGACATTGTTCATTTAAAAATAAAGCATACCCTAAATAAACATCCCATTGCAAAACTGTAGAAGTTTAAAAACAGTTAATTAGTCCAACGCATCAGTGTGACTCTTCGTAAAGAGTTGTTTTTTAAAGAGTAACTAACCCCCCCATTTTTTATTTTTGCTCATAAGCTGTATAATTGGGTCTTTACAAATGCAATCTTTCAGTTTCTATGCCTTTTTTGACATGTTTGAGTAAACTTGATTAAATCTAGAATCTCGGTTTAAAAACGTCGTAGTGCTGCCCCCTGTGGCAGAACAGCAGCTACTTGCATTTTAAACTTGTGATTGACCGGGGCTGGTACAATTTCATGTCATCGGTACAGTCTCCTCCCACTCCCCCTCCCTCCCAGGATGGAAATTCCCCACGCTTGGCCATGCCACTCCGTGCCTCCTGGCAACGCTCGCTTTCACAGCATTTTTCAAATCTTGGCTAGGGGTGAGTTGCGTTTTCTGATGGTGTGCAGTCCCTCTTTAAATGGTTTACCGATCGGGCTGGTCAAGAGGACCTCTTCCTGTCGCCTCTAGTTAGGACGTCTCTATCTCTACTTCTGTTGATGCAGATCGAACGTAGAACATGAACTTAACATTCGCTTTTATCTCTGTACGGCAGCCCAGATGGGACAAACCCAAAAATGAAGCAGGATTTCAGTTTTATTTTTGATTTCTTCTTTCCAGACTGAGTGTAGAGGTTTTCTGGTGTGGAGTCTATGAGGACAAACATCACACCACCTTATTACTGAACTTTGAATCACGAGAAACGTTATATTTTATAAAACAATTTTTTTTATCTTTTCCCTCCTTCAGCTCTGGCAGCCAGTGGTGGCCAGCTGCCTCTTTCCACTCTTGAGGGCGGCAGCAAGGTGTTGCTGGGGGCCTCTGGGGGCCAAGGAGGGGCCCTCCCCTCCTCCCTCTTCCTCAACCACCCCACCCTCCTCCACATGGGCCAAAATCCCGGCGCCGGATTGGTCAGTGCCGCTGTAGCCAAAGTGTCCCAGGCCTCCCCCTTCCCTTCAGCCAGCAGCATCAGCCCCACACCCTGTTCCCCCTCCCCCTGCTCTAGCCCCGCCTCTTCCTGCTCCTCCAGCGAAATGGCACACAGCCCATCCTGCCTGGGCGGGCCCAAGATCGAGTGACAACACCCGGGGGGGCCAATCAGAGAGGAGGACCGAAGAAGAACTTCGCCTTTCACACCAAAGCTATCTCTTTCTCTCTCTTGTGCTCTTCTTCCATTTTTATTTGATTTGATTTGCAATGGCTCTCTCCCTCCTTTTCTCCAAGTCTTTCGATGCCAAAAATACACAGAATGAAAGAGGAGAGAAGGAGGGAAAGAAGAAGGGAGAAGGGAGGAAAGGGGACGATCGAAACCAAAAATCTTTATCTATCCAAACAGATGAAGCAGAGACATCACCGGACATGTTTTTTGTCTGTAACTTGTGATTATAACGTGTCACGTCTCCGCTCTTTCGCTCAGACGGAAAACAAACCAACGACTCTTTAGCAACGAGACGGAAGAGGCGGAGGATGTCCAAGTGCATAAACCAAAAATGACAAAAGAAACTTTACTATGTGACACAAGGAATGGTGTCACGGACGCTAAGAAACCAAGAGGAGGACCGTGCTCACGCGCTCTTTTCTTTTGAAAATATTGTTATTTTGAAAAGCTTTGAGAGAAGAGGAGCGGGGACGATGCGTTTAAACCAAAAATTTACCTGAGGAGGAAGTGGAGGACGAACACACGATGACTTTTAAAAAAAAGACAAAAAAAAAAACAATGACAACCAAACCAAACCATACCAAAATCACAAATACCAAAAACCAAAAATACGGAGAGAAAAGCTTTATTCAAAAGGACGTGTAAATACTGAAGCTATCCAGGACCAGGACTCTACTGCAACACACACACACACACTCATCCTGTCACCCGCTCATCCCATTTGTGTTTTCATGCGTCTCTCGTTGGGTTTCATGCCAAATATTTGAAGTCATTTTGTAAAATATTGTTGTTTTTGCATCAGGAATGTGCTAGAACTGCTGTCTCTTTCCTACCTCTGGTTACAAGAGCTTAGACTAGAATACGCTTCTCCCATTTTGTACTTTTACACCAGATTATAGCTTAAGATTAGTTTGTTTTCATTATTTATTAGCTTCACAATTCAGCTCCTATTTATTGTTGTGCTCTAGCTCTGTCATATCATCATCATCATCATCATCATCATCATCATCATCATCAGCCTCGTCTTCATTTGTGTCCTCATCTTTTGTAACTTCACTCCCCTTCTGGAAGGCAGAAGAGAGATCGATGCTCAACTCCGTCCTCACTAAGTGCCGATGGTCCGCGGATCGGGTCGGCTCACTTTGTGTTGATTTCAGGGCGTGAATGAATCCATCACCCCCCCCCCCCCCCCCCGCCCTTCAAAAAATCCAAACAAATAAAGATTTTGTTCTCTCAATCAGACCGCTCTTTCTTAAAGATAACCACCATTCCCAGAGGCGTCCATGGCTAAATGAACACGCCCTGGGAAACTTCACACACTGAAAATGATGTTTGTTACGAGGGGAGAGCGTTTTTATGAAAGTATGAAATGGAGCCGTGACTGGCGATGGAGACAAATAAGCGTCGAGGCTGAGGGCTAAATAAGTCAATAAAGCCAAGTTTAGTCACAGCTGGCTCCGATTCCTGCCTCGTCAATCAGCGCAGACGCCCCGACAGCTGTCTGACTGTGTGTTTACCTGCATTCGTCTGTTTTCCATCATCGCTCACATTTCACTCATTTTCCACCTCGCACTGCCATTAATTCCAAAATAGATACCAAAGCATCATCAGGGCAAGGGCCCCGGAGCCGAGACACCAACACGATACAGACACACTGGGGGGTCAAAAGGGGGGGAGAGAGGACAGGACGTCTCCCCCTCTTGGTGGAATCGCCCTCACCTGTCCTTAAACACACGGGGAAAGCTTTAGGACTGTTGTTTTGCCTTCTCAACCCCACAAGGAGGGTGTAGGGAAGCAGGTGAAACACTTTTTTTCCAAGAGGACACCAAAAACGAACCAAAACCAAAAACCCAAGGAATGACAAACCAAAAACAACCCAAACCAAATGTGGCTGGAGGGAGGAGGGGAGGAGGACAAAGCGTTGGGACGATTCGGAGACGTCTGCCTGTCCGTCTGTTAGCTTCAGGGCCGAAACTGAATCTGTGGACGGAGCGACAGAAGAAGAAAGATGGACGGTTCCTCCCCTCCTCTACCTCCCTCTCTCCAGCTCAGCTCTCTGGTCCTGGATGGAGATAAACGCAAATGACCTCACTGAACTGAAATCTTATTTAAAAGAATCCTTTTTCTTTCTTACGTTTGTATTTTTTCGTTGACTGATTCTGATTGTTTGATCTCTGCCGTGTCTCTTGATGCCGTTTTATGTACTGTACTTTAGTGCTTACTTCTTATTTGGAACAACGTACTCGCTTACTTACTTACTACAAGAGCTCCTTATTTTTTCGTAGTCGTGCTCGAGATTTTTATCGGGTGGTTGAGAAAAAAAATACTGTGAAAATTTAGCTTCCAGATTTTTATTAGATAAAGACTGTCTTGGCAGGAAAAGAACAACGGACGACACAAAAGCCAAAAAACTAAGAATTGAACTGCGAACCTTAAAATCGTCAAAACCAAAAACTGAAACCAAACCAGCGGACGAGAGCAGAGCTGCTCTTTCCCGCTCTCTCTCTCTCTCTCTCTTTTCTCTCTCTCTCTGTCTGCATGAGGGCAAAGTAACGGGTTGATTGGTCTGAGGTGCCTCTGAGCATTTATCTGTTTGCAAGTGTTGGTTTAAAGGAACACCGAGTCGAGTTTGCAGTGATGTCCTGTAACTTTGAACCCAAAGACTTAAAAACTAGACATTAGGACGACAGAATGCCTGCGACGGCTTAAAGGTTGGTTTATGCTTGACGAGTCCGCGAGGTTCGCCAGGCTCCATGCGGCAAAATTGCGTCATTTTAACAACCACGCCCCTCCACCGCACCTCCGCACGGCCCAAACTTTCCGCACCGCGAACCTAGGAAATTTTCTAACCACGCGGACGGTCGAATACGGAAAAACATGGTGGACTGGCAAGAACTAGTATGACAGAGGTTGGTAAATACAGACATTTGTATGATTCAGCTCTCAGAGATCACCGTGATCAACATGTTGTTAATAATTCTTGGAGAGAAATAGCTCGCACTGTCGGAAAAGACGAGGACGCTGTTAAAAAATGCTGGAATGCCATGTTGTAAACAACAGTAATTTTTACTTCTACTACGGTGTAGTGTTGGATGCATGCCGTAGAGCTCCATGCTGCCCCCTACAGTTTGGGAGAATATTGGCTCACTGCAGAGACAAGCCGCATGAACCATAAACGCTGCGAGTTGTGAAGCGCGTTCCATCCGCGAGCCGCATCACCAAGCGGAAAGTGAATGCGTCGAGCATAAACCAAGCTTTAGTCTGCGGGTCGGACGTTTCCAAAGACCCTTTGGTTTGATCGTCGCCAGGGAAACAGTCGAGAATCGTTTCCGAGCTTTAGATGTTTGCGCCTTAAAGGTGAAACCTCTCCTCCACATTGACTCTTAGACGGAATGTATCTGTTAGTGCTTCTATAGATTTTGTAGAAAAAAGATCTATGTTCTACTGCTTACTTATCGCTAATGTACTGAAAAGAAAAAAGTCCTACAAAAAAAAACACTTTGAGAAAAAAAAATCTTAAAACATTGATGATGATAACTTGATTTTAGACCAAAAATTTAAAACTATCTCTCTTTGGACTTTTCTTTTTCATTTGTTTATCACGATTTAGACTTTTGATTGTATATTTATTGAGGCTAGACTTGGTTTATCGACTTATCTTTTTGTCTTGCTATTTATTTCTTAATTTATTTCTAGAAATCCTTTTTTAATTTTCCACATTTTCTGATGTATTTGTAATGGATTGTCTTGCTTTTCGCCGCCTGCTGGAGTTGCTGTTTAAAAACCAAAAACTGTAAGAGACGCCACAAAGAGACCTCCTCAACAGGAGAGAACATCAGGGTGACACGCAGAACACTTCTCCATTCTTAAGCTCAGTTCCAGATAAGAAAACGTGGAAGCAGTGGTGTCACGAGCTGCAGCGCTGCTTCGTTTCTGCAGAGAGAGAGAGCTCTACACAAACCAAAAGCACCAGAGGAGAAGACAAACTGGGGCGGAGGCTGATGTGTTTTTGTGTGACGGAGACAAAAGAAGGAGGTAAAACGTGGCGAGGATGATTGCTTCTTCTTCTTCTTTTGTCTCTTTTGTTTTGTTTTTGTTTCCTCTTTGCTGTGTTTGATGATTCCTTCGTTCACTGCAGGATGTAAAAGAGAGATAGTTCATCATATACCTCATATTCTTTGATGATAAACCAAATAGATGAATGCTTTAAAACGCGGGGATGGCGGCGGGGATCGGGGTGCTGGGTTGTGGTTGGTGCAGCTGGGAGCAGATCTAGGAAGGATGAACAGGTAGATTTGACCCTTGAGGTCAACAAATGTCCTTACTGGTTTCTGCTCCAGTCCACACACACACACACACGCCTTCACACGCACACATCAACACTGCCCTGAAACAGTCCCCCGTTTCCTGTGAAGAGCTTTAAACTCGGCCCTCTCCTTACGTCTGACCCTCACTGCTTCCTCCCTGTCCAGTATGGACTCTGGGCTTCATGCTGCTGTTTGGCACAGATCTAAACATCTAATCTGGTTCTTGTAAAAAAAAAAAAAAAGCGTCTAGTTTTGTGCCTCAGAGCCGATTTATCACCAAAGCTGCCCTCTCTCGTTCCGAGGGGGGCCACGTTGACCCGCTGATGTCCACATGAATCAGGGAGCGCCACAGGGTCAGGTAACAGGGAGCAGCTGACCCTGAGGTTACTAGGTGACACATACAGACGGTCAACAGTGTGTGTGTGTGCTGAGAACATGGCAGCTGGAGGGAGAGGTGTGCACATTGTTAAAACATTCAGACTCTCATAGAGTCTGGATTTTTCCGTCTTGCTTTGCTCATTTTGTCTCGAGGCCAGAGCATCGACCTGGATTTGAGGGGCCGTATGCCAAGTGCAGGACTCCGTGGTGGGGATACCCCCTTAAGTGAATGATACCAAAGCCAATGCCCTGCTACTGGGTCCAGCACCACATGCACACTCCCTAAAACCCTGGTCGTCTTTGTTTGCAACTGTAATATTTATGCAATTTGTTTGTAATATTTTACATTACATTAGCTTCCATGAAAGCTGCTTTAGAGGGACGATGGCGCTTTCTTGCAAAAAGTTAAGTTAGCACGTTAGCTTAGCATAAAAGACTGGAGCAAACGCCAAAAAGCCAAAAAGAGAAAATTTTCTACCTCAAGCCTTAAAGCTCTCATTCACTTGTTTTGATACCTATGAAGTGGTCTCTAGTACAAAAGGATCCCTTGTGGGCCATTTTCTGTGGGTATGAAGCTCTGCCGCTCCTAATTCAGTTCAGTAGAAGTTAGTCGGAGGGGTGGGTGGCAGAAAAGGACAGGATTTGGAATCTTATCGTTCATTTTCCTGATATAAAAATATAACTCCAAATAACTCAAACTTGAAGGACATCTGCTGTGTTGTGAATGGTTAGCTTCTGCTAGCTTAGGCATGCTCTACTCTCTCCTGGATGCTAAATCAGTCCATGAAGGCTAGTTTTCAGTGTGACGTAGATCTGTGTGCCTTTTTCTGACCCGAGCGTTCCCCTGTTGTTTTCTATCTGCAGCCAAAGCAGGAAATAGGGGTAGAAGGCACATTTTCACATTTAGCCTGTGTGTGGAACTCAGTGACCCACAGAATTTTTAAAATAAGAAGTAAAACATGGTTTCTTAGTGAACTTGCTCTTTAAATTTTTGTAATAAACAAACGGGTGCAAGAAAAGTGGTGTTTAAAATATCCCCCTGTTGGATTTGCATTTAGCCAGAGATGCCTCAGCTCCTGCCTTTCTAACCGATGCCTCAGAGTGAAGCAGAAAATGACGAGCTCAGTCATCGACGGCGTGACTCATAATGAGCCATCGCTTTTGAGGTAACACGCATCAACAGCAAAAGCAACCAGAAATGATAACGATCTGATTTGAGCAGAAAGTGGCAGGCGAACAAGAAATCGACTGAATGTGAGGTGGCGTCCAAGTGGATGTAGAAAATGTGTCGTGGCGCATGTTCAAAGTGAGCAAAATGACTTGAATCAGCAGTAGTTCACAATTTCCAGCTGATCTGGGCAGAGCTAAGCTAACGCCTCTTCTTGTTTCCAGTCTTTATGCTAACCTAAGCTGAAAAGTGTCATGCTCGTTTGTTCTTGAACTCTTAAAAGTTGGAGCTTGTGCAGATTCTGAGTCCGGAGCGGCACGACTGTCGTGAGGAATCAGGTTTGTTTTGTCGTAAATGAGAGGCAAAGCGAGCAGAGCAAACAAACCCTCAACAGAGCTGCTGCATCTTCCTCCACCCACTCGCATCCACACACTCTTCCTCCCCTACATCTCTCTCTCTCTCTCTCTCTCTCTCTCTCTCTCTCCTTTCTCTTTTCCACAATACAGCTTCAGTCCAAAGGTTCTCCAGCAACACAGCAAAGCAAGTCAGACGTTAAAGAATCAAACCAAAGAGCTCTAACTTGATCCACTGCATTTCTTCTCCCCGTCTGCCCTCCTCTGTCACCTAGTGAGCCGCTTCCTGAAGCTTTAACCTCAGCTATCCAAAGGGAAATAATAATAATAATTTAAGTTAAGATGATGATGATGATGATGATGAAATGTATATTTTTAAGTATTTGTCATTGGAAAAAAAGAATCTTAAGCTTCTCATGATGATGATGATGATGATGCTCACAATGATGACGATGACGATAATGAAGTTTCTCTTGGTATCTTTGTAGCTGTTCAAATCCTCCTTAAGTTTGTGTCTCTTTCTGCTCGTGCTGCCTCCCCTCCCTGCAGGTTTTACCCTTTATGTTTGGTGTGTGTGTGTGTGTGTGTGTGTGTGTGTGTGTGTGTGTGTGTGTGTGTGTGTGTGTGTGTGTGTGTGTGTGTGTGTGTGTGTGTGCCCTTCCTTTGTGTCTTCTGTTATGTCTGCGACCACTCTCCCATCTCCCCCCTCCACCCTCATCCCTTCCCCTCCCTGCATCCCCCCCCCCCCCAACGGTAACAGTTTAGACCTTTAGTGTATTTATCTTGAAAACCAAAAAGTTTAAAAAAAGGAAGAAAATACCTGCTTGTTCATTGTACAGTGTTGTTCATTTTAAGTCATTTTTGTAACTGAAAGTGTTTCATTCATCCAAATAAAACAGGAGACAAAAACTGTACAGACGACCCCCTCCCCCCTCGCCTCTTCGTCTCTTTTTCTGCTGCTCAGTTAAAATCTTTCAGGATGGTTTTTTTCTCATCTGGAACCACAACTTTCACTTGGTTTGGTGAAACCTCATCACAGGAAACGGGAAATACACAGTACCATCTCTATAAACATAGCCCTGTCTGGCCAGCAGAGGGCGCTGTTGCATGTATTATTGCTGCTGCCAGGAGCCAGATGAGACACATCTGACAGGATTTGATCTCTTTGCTACTTTAAAGTTTATAGAAGGCTGATTTTAACCCCCATGATCAGTTAAGCCTCTTTAATTAATATCATTTTATTCTGCTCTCATCCTGTGTTTGATGCAGTTTTGTAGATTAATCTATTTATGGCTTCAAAGCAAAATAAAATCAGAGGGTCATCCATCGTGAAAAAAAAATGCACTTTTCAGTAGAAATTTTACCGTTCCACCTTCTACGAGTAAATTTTGTCCGCTGCAAAAACCTATAGGCTGAATTAGATGGTTTGATAAATTCATTAAAGCAGAAACTTGTTTACAAAATGCATTATTTTTTTATTTAGACGCCTGCTTTGATGTGTGGGTGCAGCAAGCTGCCTCCACAGGAGCCTTTTATTTATCTCACAAGTTTCTTAGCTGACTCCTTATCTTCTCATCGGATTTAAAACGAGAAGAAGACAGCTGCTCAGAATCATTGTAATAGCTTTTTCCTACTTCCCAACGATCCAAAGCCCGTTAAATACTTGCTTCTCAAAATTCCCCAAAAGAAACATTTAGGCTTTAAATATCAAAATATTTGTTTTGTTTTTTTTACTTTTTGCAGATCAGCTTTCTGCTGCTTTCTGCTTTTTGCACGTGGAAACTTCAGCGTGTCAACATACATTTATTTAATTAAATATCGTGCAAACGTTTGATCTTTCCTGGTGTGCAAATGTTTCCAGCATGACTGTTGTTGAAACATAAATGCTGACATGCTAAGGCAGGTTTATTGTGAATATGGAGTCATTTGTTAACCCATAAGTCTTTATTAGCGGGCCTTCAACAACTTTAGTTTGGAGAAACAGGGATTATTGACTGGACTGATAAGCTAACAGCTAGTTTGAGCCAAGATGAAAATGGATTGCTGAAGTTTAAAATAAAAACATATAGGTTTTTAAAATAATATTGTGTAAACTAAATCAATCTTGTTCTAAACATGATTTAAAAATATGAAAAAGTTGCAAAGCATGGCTTTAACTTGTAAATTGTGTCTGTTTTTGACACGAGTGCTGCTATTTACGACAGCTTTAAACTCCTAAGCCGTATTTTAGGGGTGTTTATTTACTCAAGTGCAAAATGGCGTTAATTAAGAAAATGGACAAATCTCCCAATTCTAAAATCCCTGCCACCATCACGCCCTGGACCTTCTGATCGGTTGATGAAGTTTGGTCACCATGGCTGAAATAATTTATGACCTTTTGGTTGAAATGCTGAGAAAGCAACCAGAAGTGAGCGTGTGGTGTTGATGCTCATGAAGACGAGGGCTGCGGCGTCTCATCCTGTGTCTCCACACTGTGAAAACAAGTTCTCACCCTGCTCTCTGGGAGGTGTGGAGGAGTAATGGAGTTGATTCATCTACTTCCCTCCCTCCGCTTGAACGCGCTCGGATGAATCACGGGGACATCTGCTAATTGACAAACAGCATCCTTAACATTTTGCCCCCCCCCCCCAGGGCAAAAGTGCGTGTGTTCATCTCCTCGTCGAACTGGTTTGTTGTCTCCTCTTCCTCCTCCTCCTCCTCCAGCTCATCGCCATCCCTCTCTTGTTAACTGCCTCTCCTTCAGTCTGTCTCCTGCTGCCCCCCGCTGTGTGGCACAGTAGGTGGATGATTAGGTAGGATGCTGGAGTGTGTAAGTGTGACAGCTTTCAGACACCCACCTCTGAGTTGAGTCATGGACGGCAGAGGAGAGCATGTGATCCTGTCACCAGGGTGACTCGCAGAGATCCGCGTTGCTGCGCCGTCGCATCGCTTTGTAATATTTGTTCTTCTCCAAAATGTCGACATCTTGGAGAAATCTGGAAAACGTGTTTATATCTCCAGAAGGAAAGATCACCGCTAAGTGTTGTTATGTTGCACATTTGCTGGTGTGTTCGAGTCAGAAGTGCTCATTTTATCAAGTCTTTACTTTTTGTTTTTGAAATCCAAATATATTTGACAAGGATGTGAGTTTATTAACCAATGAATGAGGCGGAAACATTCAGTGATTTTTTTTTCATGACTGAGTAAAAGTGCACTAGTTAGATGGGATTTGATCTTGGTGGTTGTTGAGGTCTGTTGCCCTCTACTGACCCAAAACCACGCTAGATAGTTTTATGGAGCGGTTAGGTGCCCTATAGGGGGCTGCTAGCCGTAATGCTAGTGGTTAGCATTTTCAGTTTGCCCAACATCAAAAATGGCACAAGGAAGAGAAAAAGAAGAAGTTTGCTTTTTCTGTTGGCCTGGAAATAAAAGTAAGAGAGTGAAGCTAAAGAGCTAAAACCAGCGTGAACATCAGTGCGGCCTACGTTCGTTCGAGAGAGCTGAAGAAGGCTACACAACCAGGGACTGATGGTGACCTGGCTTTGTTGCTACTGGACTTGTAAGTGGTATTATTTTTTGTCCAACAGTGTGGATCTTTTACTTTGTGGCAGGGGCGGCGTTAGGCCCGGCTACTTGGGCTCAAGCCCCAAATGTTTTATGAAAAGCCCCGGATCTCAAACATGGAAGTAACATGCAGTACCAAAGTCCAACAGAGAGGGAGCAGCTGGCAGTAGTCTGTATGCAGCCTGCCTGAGCCTCCACCACTGAAGAAGAAGCCCTTCAGCAGCCGGCTTCTTCTACACTCTCTGCCTGAAACGCATGAGTGAAGATGGACATAAGGACGTTTTTAGACCAAAAGTATGGCGACAGAACCCCAGCTTTGATGAGACTGGTGTTGACTCAGGTTTGTGAGTCTTATTTGAAAATATTTGTTGTGCTGCTGGTTTGCCTAAAGTTAGCTCATCAGGTAAAGTTGTTGGAGAAAGAAAGGGAATATTTACTATCATCTCACACTAAACACTAACAGGAACAATACTCTGCCCTGAATATGCTTAATATGTAGCTTCAGATTAAAAATTATGTGGTACAAGACAAATATATATGATGTTGACTAGTGCGTGTCACGTGTGTGTGCGCACGCGCGTGTGTGTACACGTGCACGTGTTTGTGTGTGTGTGTGTGTGTGTGTTAAGCCCCGGATCTTCAGTCCTAAATCCGCCCCTGCTTTGTGGTTTCCGTTCTTGTATTAGTTGGCTTATGTTGTTAGCTTGTTGTTAGCACTAGCAACATAAAGCTGCAGCAGGGTTGTTTATGCCAGTTGTAACTCCACTTTCAACCAGTAGGGCGGCGGAGCTGGAAACTGCTCGGTGTTACTTTAACGAAAGACTGAGAAAACGTAGAACTGACAAACGTGACAATAACTAAAAGTTGAAACAACACTGAACCCAAATGTCACAAAAGCTCCAGATAGTTTTTATATCAGACAGAAAAAAAACACCTTTTCATCATAAACAGGTTATTTCCCACAGTTGGAGTCATGCATGTTAAAGATGGCGGCAGCAAAGTCATTCTCCATGACTTTTTAAAGCGAGTAACTGGAGAGCAACAGATCCTGTTAAGACGAGGAGTCGGTTAACACAGCTTGGAGGAGCCCCAGTAAAGGTGGAACTGGCTTCAAAGAAGGCCTGACTGGGTCACTGGCACCAGCAGCAGAGCGCCAGCTGTCGGGTTGACCAGGAACGCTGCCAGGCGTGTGAGGGCGTTCGTGTGCTGATGTCCTGCAAGAGGACGAGCGTCAACACATTTAGGACACGCAGGAGAGCGATGCAACCCTCTTAACTGTTCTTTAGATCTTAGAGGTGTGTGTGTGTGTGTGTGTGTGTGTGTGTGTGTGTGTGTGTGTGTGTGTGTGTGTGTGTGTGTGTGTGTGTGTGTGTGTGGGCGCCAGTGAGAGATGGTGCCAGTATTGATGTGCCACTAAACAGATCTGGTTTCTCTCCACAAGCTGTAGTGTGTGCACATGTAGGTGTGTCAGACCGGCTACTGTTGCCTCTTACCAACAACACACACACACACACACAGCACCAATCCACCTGTCGATCTCGCACTCCATCTTTACCTCACTCGTGAACAAGACCCCGAGATACTTAAACTCCTCCACTTGAGGCAGGACCTCATCTCTGACCCAGAGAAGGCATTCTACCCCTTTCTGACTCAAGACCATGGTCTCAGATTTAGGGGAGCTGATTCTCTTCCCAGCTGCTTCACACTCGACTGCGAACCGCTCCAGTGGGAGCTGGAAATCATGTTCCGATGAAGCCAACATGACCACATCATCTGCAATGAGCAGAGACCTGATGCCTAAGCCACCAAAACAGATCCCCTCGACACCTATTATAACCTAAATTGCTCCAAAAAATAAAATAAAAAACTGCAAAAAATTATAGAAAAAAAGAAGAAACAAACACTTTCTCCTAGTGATTCTATAAAATGTCCTGGTCTACGGTGAAAAACAAACATGTACTTTATTAATGTAACATACTGATTGATAATTGACCCTCCTACTTCTCTATAGTTCAGTTGGAAAAATAAAAATTTTACTTTTCTAAATATTACAATTTATTTTCCCACAATTTCATATTCATTCACATTTAAGCATCTGAAACTGGATTTTTGCTGCAGCTTCTTTTATCATTTGGATGATTTGACTATTGTTTTAATAAATATGATACACTGACAAAAGGGAACCTTAAATGCATAACTTCCTCTGCTACGCAATGATGACAGAAAATATCTCTTTCAAAATTTAAATAGCAATTTTTTAGCTATTAGTAATCCTAGAACAAGCTCGACAACAACCAGGAACAAAAACTGAAATATTATTCTACGTAAATGTGCAAGAAGTAATTCTCTTTAGACATTTGGTGGAGTTTGATGCTGTCAAGCAGA